TCACAAAAAAGTTTTATTTTGATTGTTTTTGTTGCATAGGCGTTGCTTTAAATGTATTTCAAATTGCCTATTCAAATCATTAAAACAATAATAATAAAAACACACTTTATTGTTGTTGAAATGTTTTTGTTTTTAAATTAAAAAAAAAAAAAAACAATATTGATATGCATGACTTGTAAAGCGCACGCTTAGCGTCCGCCTAATTGTTGTGGGAATATTACTTTTAATTATTCTATTTATATTAATTTAATGTAATATATTTAATGTAATTTATGTATAAGGGTACCCCTAAATGATGGATAATGTTATAGAAAACATGCAAAATTAATTAGATCGTAGTAACGTTTGAATGGACAAATTTGTAAAACGTTCCTTTCCGCAATAAAAACCAGTAAAGAAAGTCCTAAAGTCGGGCGGGGCCGATTTTATGATACCCTACACCACTTTGCTAATTTAGTTGAGCTCCACTTGATAATTGAAAGTTTTCATGGGAGAATTCAAACATACACGCTATGATTATAATTATAATTTAAAATTCAAAGGACTAAATATGCCGAAGCATTTGTATCTTTTAAATTCGGACTTGCATTGCCCATTTGGTGCGAAATTAATTTGAAATCGGATAAAAATATATATGGGAACTATATCCAAATCTGAACCGATCTCGATAAAATTTGGCAAAGATATTTCTGAGCTGTATTTGATATATTTCCCTGAATATCGTTGTTACGGAGTGCATATTACGGCTGTGTGTAACAAATACAATAAATCGGATGAACAATATATATGGGAGCTATAACTATATCTGAACCGATCTTCACCAAATTTGGCATACTACCTTCTAGACTAAATTCGGTCGTATGTGCCAAATTCCATCCCATTTGGACAAATATTAGACGTTTGGTGCACAATAAATGGTAAATCGGACGAAGTTATATATGGGAGCTATATCCAAATCTGAACCGATCTCGATAAAATTTAGCAAAGGATTTTCTGAGCTGCATTTGATATATTTCCCCAAATATTGTTGTTACAGAGTGCATATTACGGCTGCGGAGGACAAAAATAACAAATCGGATGAACAATATATATGGGAGCTATAGCTATATCTGAACCGATTTCCATCAAATTTGGCATGCTTATTTTTAGGCCTAATTTGGTTGCATGTGCAAAATTCCATACTATTCGGGCTGATATTACACGTTTTGTGCACAATAAAAGGCAAATCGGACGAAGATATATATGGGAGCTATATCTAAATTTTTACCGATTATCTCCAATTTCAATAGGGTTCGTCCTTGGGCCAAACAAATGTTGTTTGCAAAATTTCATCTCAATCGAATAATAAATGCGACCTGCATTTTGTTCACAAGAATACATGGACGGACGGACGGACAGACGGACTGACATGCATAAATCAACTCAGAAAGTGATTCTATGCAGATCATCAAAAGGAACTATGGATCTATCTCGTTTCCTTTTGCCTGTTACAAACAAATGCACCAAGACATAAAACCCTGACCACCTTGTGGTGTAGGGTATAAAAATCCATAGAGCTTGAAGATGGTCAATGTTGTTTTCCACTATTTAGTTCTTCCCTTCCATACAATTTTGACCTGTTAGTTATGCAGAGGGTGGGTATTCAAACAAATATTCTTTTTCATGCATATCGAATGTGTCATTTTTGATACTAAACTTAAAGACTACTTGTTCTAAGCCGTGACAAACCAAGTTCAAGCCAAATCGCTCGGAAAGTATAACCAAGACTCTCACTTATGGGTATCTTTATATAAGTCCTATACCATGGTGCAATAAGGAGATAGAACAGCTTTGTAAAATTACAGAAATACAGGCTATGTCCGCTTCCTGTCAGAATTATTCAAAATTATTCGTAACAAGCTGTTATCTTTTATTCCGTATTTTTATACCCTACAACATAGTATGGAGGATATATTAAGTTTGTAATTCCGTTTCCGTATATATATATATATATATATATATATATATATATATATATATATATATATATATATATATATATATATATATATATATATATATATATATATATATGTATGTATATACATATATTGATCAGCATAAAATACTATGTCGATTTAGCGATGTCCCCCCGTCTGTTCGTTTGTACATCTGTGGAGTCACTCTAGTTTCTAAACGGAAAACGGAATACAATTTTACTCAAATCTACATCATGTCTGCTGGCCTTTTGGTATTGAAAATGGGCCAGGTAGGTCCACATTGTGGTATAGCCTCCATATAATGTCACCTCCCTATTCTCGGTATTTTGGTGATTAAAGTGACATTTTTCAACGGAAATGTTTCAAATGTGGCATTTGAAGTTCGTAATGGATACTACAGCTTAAGACAGAAAATTGTCTGTGCAGGTCAACGTTTTGGTATAGCCCCCATATAATGGTACATCCCTTTTTCGGTATTTTAATGATTTTAGCTACACACCAAACCAATTTATTTTTCAAGTTTCGCATTTGAATATTGTATTGGCCTATGAAAAAAGTGACCTATGCTGGTCGACGTCGTCGTATAGGCCCTAATAAAACGGTTACATTCTGTTTTTTTAATATTTTAACATAATTTTTAACGGATTTTATTTTTTTGAAAACTGCCAAATTCGTTCCAAATTGTAGAGAGTATTCAAAATTCGGTCCGTCCGAACGTACAGCAATTTTACTTGTTTTTTCTCATTTTTTAAAATGAGTAAAAAAGTGCGAAAAATCAATAAAATGTCTGAATATTCTTTCAAAAGTTCAATATTTCAATTCTATGGCAAAACTGGTTAATATCTGCAATGCACGTTTAAAGAAACGTCATTTTCATTTTGAAAATATTTTATATTTTTAAAAACAATAAATACATACACAAAATTGGCAGAAGTCACGAGCACACTTAGAAATAAATTGTAATCAGCTAGTAGCTCTACCTTAACTTTTTAATGTATCTTGGTTTATACTAAAACTTCGACCTACCTAAAGAGCCCAAAGAATTGTTGGGTTCTTAAGCCAAATGTTGTTAAGGCCCTTTGTTTTGGCCATATACAAAGGGTCCCTTTTAACTTCGGATATACTTCATATTATTTAGAACAGAGCTTAAAAAATTTAATACAGATCTTTGGATTACATCCCTAATCATTGGTACAGAAAATGGGTCATATTGATCCACTCTTTGTGTTACTTTCAAACCTGAAGTCCGAGGAAAATTTTTCAAAAAATAAAGTAAATAAAGTATTAATGTCGGGAGGGCCGACTTTATGATACCCTACACCACTTTGCATATTTAGTAGAGCTTTACATAATAAGTAAAAGTTTTTTTATGAGGAATTTGTGAGAATTGGATCATACCAACTATGATTATAGTTATAATTTAAAATCAAAAGGAACTAATAAATGAGGGAAAAATATCCTCTTCCTCTGAATCGATTTCTACTAAATTTTTCGAGGCATTTGTGTCTTTTCAATTAGTGCTTGTATTATCCATTTGGTGCACAGTTAACTTGAAATCGGATAAATATATCTAAATTCGAACCGATCCTGATAAAATTTGGCAAAGGAATTTCTGAGCTGTATTTGCTATATTTTCCAAATATCGACTTGACATACTTATTTTAAGGCCCAATTTGGTTGTATGCGCAAAATTCCATACTATTCTGATATTACACGTTTGGTGCACAATAAAAAGCAAATCGAACGAAGATATATACGGAAGCTATATTTAAATTTTGACCGATTATCTCTAATTTCAATGGGGTTCGTCTTTGGGTCAAATGAATGATTTGTGCAAAATTTCATCTGGATCGGACAATAAATGCGACCTGTGCTTTGTTTACAAAAATACATGGACAGAATATTTTTATCTTTGTCATCATCCATCCTATATGATTCTATGTTGGAGATTTTTGTACAAACCCGCCCTAACATGTGTTTTTAATATACATGAATTTCTAGCGTTTAAGTAAGATTTAGACTCTTGGTGTCTTTTAGGACATGTAGCAGAATTTTATGACAAATAATTTTGTAGGATATTTTGAATTTGTACGAACCCGTTTAAAGGGAGTTTTTAACCAGATCAATTTTTGACCAGCTTGAAGATTATTTTTTTAAATATTATTCTATTTCTCTGCGATATTACCGAAGACACTATATTCTTAATCCGAAATTTTTCAAAAGTGTGGAAGTGTGCCCTCGGTATGAAATTAAGTTCTTTTAGAAGCAAAGGACATGAGTCAAATTCAGCCTAGTATTATCTTGCTGTCAATTTTGTTTTTTTTTCGCAAAGAATCCATTAAAATTAGATGTGATTTGACGACTGAAAAATTTAGTTCGTCTTGCCATGTTACCTTGTAAATACACCTAGCTTAAAAAAGGAAGACAAAATAACACAAATTCTTTTTTTTTGTCTTTGTCATTTGTGACGTTTTGTTCTTCCTCTATTTCTTTCATCGTATGTAGCTACAATTCACCACTATTTCTCAGATTATACCTATAACGGTATTTTGTTGTTACATTACAAATCAAAAGTGATACAAATTTAAGTAATTAATTAACACTTTCATTTGTTTGGTGTGGTTCAACGCTAATACAACTGATAGCCTGAGGTACGAAGAGGGGATAATAATCTCATGGAATAATTCAGGGTTAAAATAGTTTACACCTCTCAGCAAACAGAGAGATTATTTAATCGAGCAATTTTTTATCCAAAAAAATTTTTTGAATTAACCACAAGGAAAACAAAACAGAAACGGCAAATTTGTTGAGGTAGGGTCAAAAAACTCTGATAAAGTCACAACATTAAAAAAAAACCGATAGAAACGCCGTTTATGTCATAGTCTACACTTTCCAAAAAATTATACGAAACCGTAATGGGGTCACAATTAATGTTTTTTCTTCCTTCTTTCTTTCTTTGTAGTTTTTAGTTTTTTTTTAGTTTTTTTTTTTCAAAATAATCAATAACCGCTCGATATTTACCATCATGATCGACACTCATTTCCACTGCATTGCCCAGCAGGGGCATTGCTTTGGGTCCAGGTATTTTTTCAATGAGACGCACCAAGCGGGCACGACGTCTATTATAAAGCACGGTAATGATGGCGATGGCTGCGACTAGGAATACAGTTATTGGCGAATAGCCGGATATGTATTTAACGGTTTTGGAGAGTAGGAAACTCTCGGCCATCAAAGAGCTTATGACACGAGAAGACATTTTTTATTTTTTTTTTTACTTTTTTTCGAAACACAAGTAAATTTTTCAATTTCGTATTTAATTTATTTCTAAATATTTTTTTTTGGTTTTTAACTTCTTAAATTTTTCATCAGTTTTCCACTTTCACAGTTTTCAAAAATTATTTGCTATTTTTTTTTTTCCATTCCAGTTGAAAGCAAAAGTTTTTAAATTGCGCGCTCTTTTATGCGAAACAACCTCCACGACGCGTTGTTTCGTTTATGCTGGCCGAATGTCAACTAACCACCGCTCAACAATTGCATAAAAATATAAAAGAAGTCTTTAACATTTTCAATGGCTTATTTTTCGGAGCGAATTTTTGATTTAAGTTGGTAGGTGTTGTTGTTTGTTTTGTGTTGTGTTTTTCGTTTGTTTGAAATGGAGGTGATGCTGCCGGCCATTGAAGTTGGCAGCAATAGCAACAGCACGCATGCGCACAAACAATCATTTTTAACATTGGCAGTGTTGTTGTTACCGACGTCGGCTTCGTCGTGAACATTGCTGTCGCGAATGCCAACGTTTGTTCACACTAAACCGGCTCCGGATGTGGCAGCATTGCCATATTGAAATGTTTGTTGTTACTTCGGTATACTATTCAATGTGTAATGGCATTGGCTGGAGTTAGGTGTCAATTAAAATCGAAATAAGAATAACAATATTTAATACCCTCTACGATTTGGAAAGAAAATGAAAATTTAAAAATAAATTCGTAGAAAAATACCGCCTAAATGAAAACCGTTATATGGGGGATATACGAGACGAAGACCTGCATAATTTTTTGTCGTAGGCAGTAGTACTGATTCGGAACTTGAAATACTAAATGTAAAACAATTCCGCTGAATAATGTCGCTAATACCATCAAAATACCGAATAAAGAAAGGTATCGTTAAATGTTGTGAATACGAAGTCGCGGATCTTCAAAGACAAATTTTGTAAGGACATGCCAAACGTCCAAGCAGTCGACATTTTTATATTTAAACACAAATAAATAACAATTTATATAACTAAATGTGAAAATAAACTTATATTAGAATTGAAGATGTTGTCAACTATTTTTGTGCAAAGCTACGTTGTTGTTGGTCCATTTCAACCCCTAATATATTGCGGACATCTTTGAAAACAATAGGCCTAGCCCTTCTGAGCCCTGCCCTACCCTTGTGAAGATCGGACGATATTTACAATACTTATATAATGTCCACAACCTGTGTTGTAAGGAGAAAAAAATGTTACAAAATATTATAAGTCAAATTGAAAAAATCGGATGCGATAAAAAATATGAAAATATAAAAAAATTGTCACAAAATACAACAAAATCTAAATTAACATCATTATTGGCATATTTTTCTGCGCTTTTTTTATATTTTATATTTTTATGTCAAGAGGGCATTCTGAATTGACAAAATTTGTCAAAATCGGTCCAGCCATTCTTGAGATATAAGCATTCTAACTAACATCCCCTTCCTTGGTATATACACATTGTATATTTCACTATATAACCGATATATTTACTATCGGCATCTGCGTAACGGTCAGAATTGACCTGTTCGTCTATTTGTGATTTCGCCGGGATTAAAAATATTCGCGGTTTAATGGAAAATTTGACATTTATTTAACACAAATGTTGTGGCCTATTTCCGCTTTGATTGGTCTATAATTGCGACCTGTAGAGCAAGTGTTCAGTTTTTGGTCCATTTCAACCCCTAAATATTATGCAATCATCTCCAAAAGAAATAGGGTTCTATTCTAACCCTAGCCCCACCTCCATTCTATCGTGAAGATCGGACCATAATTGCGACCTGTAGAGTGATTACAAATTAACATGGACAGACGGACGGACATACATAGCTAGATCGACTCAGCTCGGCGAGATAGGAAGATCCATATATACATTCCTATGTGGGAAACCAATATTTCGTGGTGTTGCATAATTGTTTGCCCAATCAAACTTATAATACCCCCAACACATAGTGTTGTAGGGTATAAAAACTAAGAAATATTATTTTTGTATTTATTTATTTATTTTTATTTTTATTTATTTATTTATTTATTTATTTTTTTTTTTTTTTTTTTTTGGAAAAATTTTAAGATTTTCTTTCACATTTTTATTTAAGGATTTTGAGAAGAAAGAAAAGAAAAGTGTATCTTTACTGAATAGTTTGAAAATGAGCAGGTGGTGGTCGGTTAACTCTGTTAGAACCTTTCTTCGTCCACAACTTTATTTATTTATGTATATACTAAACGTGGCATTTCATAATAGTTTAACAAGACTGCTTTAAATATTTATTACAGCTATTAAAAATTGATCTTTGCAGCTTTGTAAGCCAAGAACTTGTCAAGAATGATTTGGCAAACAACAAAAGTAATCAGATTCAGAATATTAATTTAACTATGTGTCCCGCAACCCAGTTCTTTTCCTTACAAAATGTTAATTTTTTTTGGATAAAAAAAGGTCTAATAGAAAACACATCTATTTCGCTTGATTACCTAAACCTGTTTTTTTTTTTTTTGGTACTAGGCTGAGCAAACAATTTTGTTCTTATCAACGAATAGGAAGTTATATTGAAACTCGTTCACAGTTCTTTTCCATTTCGTCAACATGGAAAAACACGTGAGACGACCCGAAACAAGCCAAAAGAACTCTTCACACGATGATGATGAGTATTGTTTAGAATTTGAAAACAAAGTTAAACTGGATTGTAAATTGACTACAGAGAACCATAATATTCTCAACATCGTTTGAATAACAATGTTAAACAAAACAAGTAAAAAAACATTAAGTTCGGCCGGGCCAAACTTTTAATACCCTCCACCCTAGGGTAAAAGAACATTAGAAGAAATGTGGCAAAAAACATTAAAATGCCGAATATCGGGAGGTACCGTTATATAGGGGCTACACCAACACGTGCACCTATAATTACAATGTTTCGCCACACGAACTAGGACCCATTATGACCCACAAATACCAACTTTTACACAAATCAGTGAAAAAATGTGGCATAAATCATCAAAATACCGAATATCGGGAGGTACCGTTATGTGGGGACTATACCAGAACGTGGACCTATACATGCAATGTTTTGCCACACGCTCAGGGACCCGTTGTGACCTACAAATACCAATTTTCAGACAAATCCGTGAAAAAATGTGGCATAAATCATCAAAATACCGAATATCGGTAGGTACCGTTATATGGGGGCTATACCAAAACGTGGACCTATCCATGCAATGTTTTGCCACACGCTCAGGGACCCGTTGTGACCTACAAATACCAATTTTCAGACAAATCCGTGAAAAAATGTGGCATAAATCATCAAAATACCGAATATCGGGAGGTACCGTTATATGGGGACTATACCAGAACGTGGACCGATATATCTCATTTTCAATACCAACCATCCTAGGGACAATACACACACTTGTGCCAAATTTCAAAGGTCTACGTCAAATAATGTGGGCTCTATCGTGATTTCAACAGACAGACAGACAGACAGGCAGACGGACAGACAGACAGACGGACATCGCTAAATCGTCTTAGAATTTTATGCTGATTATGAATATATATACTTTATGGGGTCTACGACGAATATTTAGAGGTGTTACAAACGGAATGACAAAGTTAATATACCCTCCTACCCATGGTGGAGGGTATAAAAATATATCTTGGTATTTTGCAAGTCTACATTCTGATGTAAGCGTTTTCAAAAATAACGTTTCCATATCAAAAAGGTTAGATATCAAAAAGATGGAAATGACACTAATGTACGCAAACCGAGTACAGGTAAGCACAACTTTCAGTTTTTTTTTTTTTTTTTTTTGAAGTTCTAAAATCCCAATTCTGTCTTACATTTGAAAACAACTAAAATAGTCAAAAAATTATCTTTAAATACAAAAAAAAATTGAATATCCCTTTTTATTTTTTTCGATTTTTAAAAATAAATTCGGCACAATTAAACACAAAACACAAACAATTCAGCACAACTTTCCTTTTTTGAAAATTACGAAAATTGCATTTCTAAAGATGCAAGAACATAAAAAGCTTGAAGTCATGGGTAGGCATATTAATGTCAAATTATAATGGAAAACGACGGCAGGATTTTAGTGCGGCTTTGTAATCCCTTTATGAAGTTTCACAAAATACACTGGTGGCCAAAACTAAAGCAACTTAAATCGCAAAGACAATAAATGTCCTGTAACTTTTACAAAAATAAACAAATCGTAATTATTTTTCCAGTTTTAAATGAGGGGTTTAATTCACTTTTAAGAAACTAAAAATAAAAATACAAAAATAATTTTGAACGAAAAATAATATGTGGAAAACTAAAATGACCCAGTTTTTACTTGGTCAAAACTAAAGCAACTTTTGATTTTTTATTTTAAAATAATTAAATTTTGGCTAGTAGTCGATAGCATAACCATTATTTTTGATAGCAGCTGCACACCTACGAGGCATTGAATCTATAACACGCTCAATTTGATCCTTGGGTGTGCCTTCCCAGGCACCCCGAATTCTTTAGAAAATGTTGTGCTTATTTATTTCCGAATCTCTCTTGATCTTCCTATCTACGATAGTCCAAAGGTTTTCTAAGGAGTTTAGGTCAGGTGATTGTGCCGGCCGTAACAAAACATGAATTTTTGACTCCCGCAACCAATATTTGACAAGTTTTGACACAAGTTTTGGATCATTGTCATGCTGAAACACCCAAATCAGCCGAATATTTTACTCAGCGTAAGGGAACAATGTGATGTCCAACACATCTTTGTAAACAAACCGATCCACAACTTCCTTTAATTTATGGATAGGCCCAAGTCCATAGAAAGAAAAACAGCGCCACGCCATTTTTGACCCTCCCTCATGCTTTACTGTACCTTTGCAACACTGCGGCTTGAGTCCTTCATTTTTGGTCTTCTCACCGTAAAATTGTTCACGTCTGAGCCTTTAATATTAAACGTAGACTCATACCAGAAAAAATGTTTTTGTCCATTGAGCTTGATTCCACTTAATATTATCGTTTCCGAAAGCCTTTTTGATTTTTTCAGATATAAATAGTTTTTTGATGTCTTACGGGCATGCAGACCAGCTGCCACCAATCGTCTACGCACTGATCTCGAGCTTATATCCAATGATTGCTCTCTCACCAATCCAGTTGAACTCTTAATTAGTTGTTTTTTATTTCTCTCACAATTTGTGGATCAGTACGGGCT